TCCAAGTACGAAAGAATTATCGACGTCTGCGCTCTGAAAGAAGACTTCCAGCGGTTTCCTAGTGGTGATCAAACAGTAGTTGGAGAACGCGGCGAGGTTCTGAGTGGAGGACAACAGGCGAGAGTAAGTTTAGCTCGTGCAGTTTACGCTGACGGAGATATTTATCTACTGGATGATCCCCTGAGTGCCGTCGATTTTAAAGTTGGCCAACACATCTTTAACAAGTGCATCAAAGATCTACTGGGCGATAAAATCGTTCTGTTTGCCTCTCATCAGCAACAGCACATGGAAAATGCCGATGAAGTGATTGTGTTATACAAAGGGCGTGTCCTCGACAAAGGACGCTTTGCTAAACTGCACGAAAAAGGTGTAATCAGTTCAGCTGTTGACCCGCTCTATATAGCAGCTCTGAAGGACAAAACAGACTCACCTGAGCCGTTTGCTTGGAAAAATTCAGAGAAACAGGATGATGCTGATCCTCTGCCCGATAAAGCGAGGAGTTTGGAGGTAGCAAAAGAGGACCGTACAATCGGAGTACTGACAGCCAGGCTTTATTGGGACTATTTCAGAAGTGGAGTACATCCCTTGATGATAACTGGAATGGTTGGTTTTAGCCTCATTACTCAAGGTAAACTTATTGTTATACCGAGTTACAAGCCTTGGGTCAGGCCCTTAAAGGGAATACATCCTTTTTTTTCTATTTCGTGAAAAGTGCATGATAATCTCAATCGTTTTAACAAACACTATTTGTTAAAAAAGGAAAATGAGCTGGCATGAAAACCTTGCTAACCACCTGCAAAACGGCGCCATTTTTCCGTTTCCAGGCGTGCGAGAAAGTGCGTGATGCACGCAAGAGGACAACGCAAAGGGAAAATGACGGGCGATTGGAGAAGCACGTGTCTAGCTGCTCCCTCTTGCTTCGTGCTTTGCTTACGCTTACCTTTTGCTCGCCTGAAAAACACGAGAAAAGGCTGCCTGTCTTGTAGGATACCATGTTAGGATATCTCGAGGGCAATGGTTAACAGATTTATCTATCCTCACATATTGTGGCGCTTACAGAAATATCCTAAACCTGCAAATAGTCATTTATTGAGGGTGGTGCCTGAGCCAAATAATTCTTGCAACTTGTTCCACTAAGTGATCATATGGAAATAAATGCCAATAATAACATCTTAATGGTGTTTCTTTCAGCCAACATAGTTGCTCCAGACTTGTGGCTCTCATTTCTTGCAAAGCTAAACCAAGAGGGTCAGAAGAACAAGACTTATCTATCTGTCTTCGTCTGTCTGGTTGGCGCGTGTTTTGTATTTACTACCATTCGGGCTTATGGATTTCTCTTAGTTTCTCTTAAGTGCGCCCAGCGTCTCCACGATAAAATGGTTGTGGCCATTTTACAAGCACCTGTCCTGTTCTTTGATACAAATCCGGTTGGAAGAATCCTAAATCGCTTTTCGAATGATATTGGCTGCGTGGATGAGTTGCTACCCAAAACAATTCTATGGGCAATGCAGATGCTCTTGCTTATATTTTTCCAAATTCTCGTAACAGTTGCCACAAATGTTTGGCTCGTTTTCGTTGTTGTTCCAATTTCGATGCTGGTCGTTTATCTTTCCAATTATTACTTGAAGACTGCCAGAGAACTAAAGAGGTTGGAGTCGATATCCCGAAGCCCAGTGTTCGCTCACTTTTCGGAGACCCTGATAGGACTGGACACGATTCGTACGAGAGGAAGACAGAGAGATTTTGTGGACACCCTTTACAGGTATGTTAAAGACATTGACTCAGGCTGTGCTTCTAGAGCTGATAAATGCACAGGCCACGAATGAGTCGTAATTGACTCTATTTCCAACTGAAATCACCCTTCAATTTTTGTCGTTTCTATTGCAATCCTTCCTGCCATGTGCCGAGACACTGGTCTGCAAGTGAACCTTTCCTTACGGGAGGTTCTTGGAAAGTAGTACCTTTTCGGGGAGGGAGGGGAGAGGCAAAAGGCTGTATTTTACTCCGAATAATCTCCTTAGAGCTTTTTAAGGCTGTTGTCGAACGACAAAACCAAAGTAATCACAACAAGCCAAAAAGAACGAGAACTCAAAGTAAAAACAAGGAAACGGCATTGAATGCCCCAAAACGGCAAGGACCAATAGGCGGTTGGTTTTGCTTTTACTTCGGATTTAATAAGAAGTGGTGTCGAGTTTGCTGGTCTATTTAGAGAGCAAAATAATACAAATAACAAAGCTAATGCAGATTTTTATCGACACTCAACTGAAAAATCATTTCATTATTAAAACGTATTGTGATAAAAACTCGTCCCTCCAGATATCAAGATGTTCATAATCAGGCGTACATTGTGGTAATGGCCAGCGGTAGGTGGCTCGGTGTACGTTTGGATTGTCTCGCTTCCTTATTAGCCGGTGCAGTTGCTGTGGCTGCAGTCTTGGTATCTCAAGATGCCGGTAAGCTCAAGATTCTTAGAAACGTTTTTGAGTCTTCCTATTTATCACGAATCTATACAGTCATGTATTGAGACAGCACGCACTAATAAATTATAAAATAAGCGAGATTATACGCGCACTCTCAATGGTCGATAGATGTATACAGGTGAGAGTTGTAACATTTTAGAAATTGGAAAATATATTATGAAAGCAAAGTAATAGAGGACTGTCTCCGTGTCTAAATAGCCTCAACTAAACACGATTAACTTGGAGAGTGGTGTACCCGAAAGTTATGCAAACCCATGAGGTATCAAATCTATCAAAGGGTCGTTTCTAAGCACAACAATAACATAAGAGTCACTCAGGCTGCTTAAATGCTCAGAAAATTTTCAAGTGTCTTCTATGATTCAAAGTGAAATTTGGGTATTGACTTGACTGTTCCAAAATGAATTTGAAAAAAAAACAACAACAACAATATCAAAAAGGACTAAAAGAAAATTTAGTTGACAAAAAAAAAGGGGTATATAGCAACAAAAAAACCGTGTAAATATCTCCGATTAACTGACTGCCAGGAACAGGATACGTCGCTAGAACCTTGACAAGTTCCCTTTCAAGATTCGAGCTATCGAAGAAGACTGGTCCAGAAATATTAAAATAAAACTTTTTTTTTTCAGCTTACGCTGGTCTCGCTCTTGTCTACGTCATCCAAACTCTGAGCTCGACTCAATACGCTGTTAGAAAAACCTCTGAAGTGGAAAGCTACATGACGTCAGTTGAGCGAGTTATGACCTACACCAAACTTGATCAGGAGCCTGGATACGAGGAAGAACGAACACCCCCAAAAGACTGGCCTCAGAGAGGAAGTATTGTGTTGAGAGATGTATCATTGACGTACTATCCGGGGGGACCTCAAGTGCTGAAGAACATCAATCTTAGCATCAAAGGAGGAGCAAAGATCGGAGTTGCCGGCCGTACAGGAGCTGGGAAGTCATCTTTCGTAGCAGCTCTTATGCGCATGCCTGATGCTGACGGAAAGATAATCATTGACGATGTTCCAATTAAAGACATAGGCCTCCAACAAGCCCGACGAGGTATCTCGGTTCTCGGCCAAAGTCCTGTTCTTTTTAGTGGATCATTGAGAAAAAATCTCGACGTTTTAGACAAGTTTCAAGACGCTGAATTGTGGCAGGCTTTAGAGGATGTGCAACTGAAAGATTTTGTCGAGACACTTGAGGCTAAGCTGGATCACGAACTGCTGGAACATGGCGCTAATGTGAGTGTTGGAGAGCGGCAGTTAATTTGCTTAGCTCGTGTGCTGCTACAGCGAAGTAAAATCGTTGTCTTGGACGAGCCAACTGCGCATGTAGACCTAGACACAGAGCAGACGATCTGGAATGTAGTGCGGGACAAACTGAAAGAGTCCACTGTTATCACTATAGCTCACCGTTTGAACACGATAAAAGACTGCCAGAAGATTTTGGTCTTGAAAGATGGAAAAGTTAAAGGATTTGACAATTTTGATTTAATAGTGAACATTAAGTAAGATGCGGTCTAAGCTTGAAATACCTCGATTGTCAGATCTGACTAAGGTTGCGGTCTAAGGTTGAAATACCTCGATTGCCAGACCTGATCCTGCAGAGCTCAAGATATTATACAGTTTATAATCTCTTCCAAAGCTCTGATTCTGCACATCATGGAGAAAAATGAAATTTGATGCTTTTTGCTCGGATTTGGCTCCTACATACTGCCAAGCATTTTTAAAATCTCTCTCGTTGTCATGTGCTGGGGTATCACGCAACGTCAATTCTACCGTGGGCCAGTTCAGTAATAGATCACAGATGAAAAGAGCAGAAAAGCCGGCACACTAGGCGCAAGCAAGTGTGTCAGTGATATTCCGACTGCTCTATGACGTCCTCTGTGACCTCCCCTTGCCCTACCAGACCCAACCACTTACGAACAGGGAGCTCTGTGTTACACATTCATTTGTCCTGACAAACGAGCACGCTAACACACCTCTTGCGATAGTAGTCTCAGCGTTCTCATAGAGTGTGGAGATCACAAACTTTCCCTTTAGCAACTTATATAAGACTTTCCTAGACACTTGAAATTGTGTGAGATTTTCCTCCTCACATCCCACCTTTTAAAAAATTATATTGCGCACGCGCCATGCTTCTCGTGTGATCACCACACTCCTTTCATGCATATGACCTTCTTCCGGGGAATGGGGATTTTAAACCTAGCCTGGGTGGAATGGAAAATTTGAACCGGAACTTTCAAGTCTTTCTAGCAGAATAAACGTGTTATATCTTTGATATGGAGTTGTTTTAAGGTTAAAAGTTCACCCTCGTGAGCAGATGGCTCAGAAGAAGAGGTCTTCAAGAAAGTCACTGTCACTTATCTTTACTTTTACAAAAAAATTGCTGATCAACTCCGGCACTTGCGTGGGGCATTTGAACACAGTTTGGTCTTGGGGGCGGAAATTTAAACGAAATAATCTCCAAAAGTTCAAATGTCCGGGGGGATCTTGGAACTGATCGACGCAATTTTTATCGCTTCGGTGAACCGATGAGTCGTTGACTCGAAAGCTTATTCTGTTGCGTTTAAGAGTTTGATATCCATTATTTCCCGAACGTAGTTTTCTGACGCATCGTTCTTTTTCATCTCGTCGAGCCAATGTCGTCGCAACGGTCGGCAAGTGAACTCTTACTTCAAGGCACGGTTGAAGTGCAAAGCTTTCCGTATCACCATCAACGGTAAGCCGTTTTTTTACTAAGATTATTTAGTTTCACCAATTATGTAGATAATGAGAACTGGCCACCGTTGAGAGATTCTGAAGTAACGTTACGAGTCTCAGCCCTTCGTCAGAACAAATTTGATGTAAGTCGATTGATACGGGTGAAACAAACTCAAGCGCGGATCGCATTACAATTAACGATTGTAAAACATAGTTTAGCTAATCCGCGCAATCTTCTAGTTGAAACGAACAGAAATATGACTCATTCTTGTTTATCCAGCGAGTTGTCTTGCTTTTTTTCTTTTTTATTTAAAGAACATAAGTGCATGAGTTTGATGTTGAGTAATTTGTTGGGAGTTGGTACCTTAATCACCTACTATTGCATAATTTTCTACACGGTATGCCGGTTTGAAACTTATCCTCGTCCTATTTGTCATCTTTTCTTTTAATTTTTCAGGTTATAAATTACTAGAATGAAACTAAATTTTTTTCTTCATCTGAAAACTGTGAGCGATTGAACGAAATGTTAAGCTAAAATTTTCATTTAACCAGGAATTTGAATAATCACTGATGTGTCACGTAGCACTGTCTGCTTTCTTGTGAATTTAAGACTCGTCCAAACTAACCTACTCAGAAAACTGATTTACTAGATGTACTACTAGTAGTATTAATCATAGGTTTAAAAGGTTAGAAACCATAGACTTTGAAGGTGTGGGCAATGAGGGAAATTTCTCAGTACATCTGAAAGCTATGAGTAGATAAACGAAATGTTTAGTGAAAATGTGCATTTCACCACCAATTTGAATAATTTTATTTACGACAGCACTAAAGAGCGAGAATCGTCTAAACTAACTTTGCTCACAAAACTAAACTATTAGATGAAATATTAGTAATAGTGACTATGTAGGTTTATAAGTGCGGGCATTGATGCGCTGATAGAGCCTTGCGTGTGAGCCATGGGCAAAAAAATTTCTTCGTTCATCAGCGAGTGATGAGCGTAAAAACGCATTGTTCAGTTGAAATGTGCGTTTGACCAGAACGCATTAACAATCGCGTGTTTCGACACGAAGCGTCTATACTCCTTCTAATGATCTTAGAAAATTTTCGGGAAAAAGAAAAACCTTAAGCGTCGTGACTTCGTGCTGTTCTTTGTTTTACAGCGCGTTGCTAAGTTTCAAGAAATCAGGCGATTCTATGCCGCAATAGAAACTGTTAAATAGAACGACTGCCTTCCAAAGCAGTACACACAAAAAGTCATACAGTTTTACAAGACACCATGACTTACTTACTGACCTGTGAGTAAGTTTATAACTCCTAGATGACGACTTGGTTCTGAAACCCAAGAAATGCACGAGTAGACGCTTAATGCTGCGTTGGACAGGCTAAGAATAAATGAGGATATTTTCTGAATATTTTGTAGGTCTCAAGCCATGGCACCCAAAGGCGGTTGGAAGTCAGTTTTGCATCGTTTTGCATCGTCTCTGTTTTTTTGTTGGATGAATGGAGTCCTTAAGAAAGGCAGTCAGAGACCTTTGGATCAAAATGACTTTTTACCATTGTCAGACGAGAACTGTGCCCGTTTTTTAACCGAAAAGCTTCGAACAAGCTGGGAAAGCAGGAAACATTACTGTAAAATAAATGGGAAAAGGCCCAAACTTTGGAAGAGCGTGTTTGATATGCTTTCTGTCAAAGATGTTATCATCATTTTGACAGGGAGTATATTGTTTTTCATAAGTCGCCTTCTCTTTTCATTGCTTCTCGGGTATCTCGTTTCTAGTCTTATGTCAGCTGAGGCAGAGAATACTTACATGATCTACGCCTGCGCATTAGCTTTGTGTCTCGATGGTTTGATGGGTGGCCTTGGTATCCACCATCTAAGCTACAGGTGTGAAGTTTTGGGGATCAAAATAGGCAGCGCCCTAAGGGGACTTGTGTACCACAAGGTAGACACGATCATAAAGAGTATTCTATTTTTTGTTGTCGTAAGGTCAATAAATCTTAACCTATTCGAAATAGAATTTTAACCAATTGCAATCAACCTATGCTAACCAGGAGGCCCAGAAGGAGAGGTTCATTGAACATGATAACTATTTGTTGATTCTCCGAGAGAATTATAGAACTCAAGCAATCCTGCCCACCAACGACCAAACAAAGTAACACACAGTAATTTAGTGTATAGTTTATGGAAAAGTATGCTTCAAAAGCCATAAATTTTTTATTAAACCATTATAAAGTATATTCAGTATATTCGAAAGTTTCTTCAAATGTGCTGATAATGGCCAGACACAACGCGCCTGTCTCAAAAAATTTCTTCCATGGCTATTGCAGGAAAAATTTATTTTAAGTCAAGAATGCCTTTTTTGTGTAACTCCTTGTTCGAGTAAAGCACCTCGAGATGAAGAAGGAAAAAATTACTTTCATACGTCACAGGCAGACGGCCACCCTGCTGAGCAATATTCATCTGAAATGGCGACTGAATTGATGCGTCTGACACATATGAAGATAATTTGGTAAAGGTTCGATTATTCTAGTCTCGATACGCGGTCATGGAAATCATTTGAGATTAAAATCATCTGGGGTTTAGAACATACCTCCCCTTTAATGTCAAACCTTCACTTTCTTTCAGACGCTTCTTCTCAGCGAGCAGACGTTACTGGAATTCACTTCAGGACGCTTATTCGACCTGATATCCAATGATGTTAAAACAATGGAAGAGGAGACAATCAAGTTTTTTTTCTTGACACCTTTCGCAGTACTTTCGTATCCGGGAACAATATTCCTCATTTACTATTTGATTGGCTGGCAGGCTGTTATGGGTGTGTTCCTCCTGTGTATTCTCATGCCATACTTTGCCTTCTTGTCCTATGCTAACGCTAAGCTGCGCTTACGCACAGCTACAGTGTCCGATCAGCGAATCTCCTTAATGAATCAAGTAGTTTCCGGGATCCGCGCGATCAAAACGCATGCGTGGGAGGACGAATATCGGCGGAAAATCGAAGATATACGAAGGTAAGGTGAATGATTATGTTTAGTCAGAGGTTGGCTCTAATAATGTAAGCAGCATTAAATCTATGTATGACCTCATTTAAATTTATTTATCATATATCTCAATGAGAAGGTGCACTATGATTGGTCGATGCATGCGCCGATCAATTCGAAGCTTCAACACTTTCCCCCTCGGGTACCCCCCTGAAGCATTCGTACTTTTGAACATTGGTTCATTCAAATTTCCGCCCTTCCCCCCCCCCCCGTTAAAATATGTCACAAACCGCGTTTTCTTAGTTCATACTATCAGTAACGTAACCTCGTTTTTTCGAGCAGAAAAATTGGCTCCCAAATTTGCAGTGCGAACCCCTAACTAGGTTAGTGAGGGGTATTTACCTGGAAGACAATTACGGATTACTCCATGGATATAGCTTTTCAGGGCCTTTTTCAATCAGTTTGATTCTTAAACAGGAGGGCGCAGTATTAAAACGAAGAACGGAATTATTCTTACGATAGTCGACTGTAGAAGTGAATCTCGATGTAAATATCTTAAAAAAAAACGCAAGCTCAAATATTTCATTTACATCGCAATGCTTAACCTGATCAAACGGGAAAATTAACAGACGGTGATGTTCTTCATGAAACATTTAAGGTGGTACGCGCCAAAACTGTACCAAGTTTGGTTGCATCCGTCATTTCCGTGATTGTTGACCTAAATTATTTTAAAGTTCGAAATGTGTATCCACAAATCTATTTATCTCTCCTCTAAGAGCTTTATTACCTAAGCAACCTAAATAAACCCTAAATAAGGCCTTGGACAGCTGAGTGAGCTGATCAGAATGCCTTCTTTCATAAAGAATAATTGACTATATCTCGAGACCCATTTCATAACCAGAGAACTGGTCCGTTAAAACCTATTAGTATAGAGGACACAGGTTAATACTGCTTTTCTCGAGCGCTCACAGGCTAGTTCGGAGGTGATTATAAAGAAGACTGGGGACGGGTTGTTACAAGAGTATGTACACATAACATGTTATGAACTTTTATCTTCAGAAATGAAATCAACGTCATTTCGAAGAGGACAGCCATTCAGTCAAATATCGATGCCTTGTTGTACAGTGCAACGCCATTAGCTACTCTGGTGTCAGTAATTACTATGGTGCTTACGGGCCAGACTCTCACGCCCGCCAATGTTTTTATGCTTCTATCGTTTATGGGTGTTTTAAAATTTTATGGCATGTTGAATATAACAAATGGTTTCATAGGAACATATGACGCTTACGTTTCGCTTGGAAGAATCGAAGAGTTTCTTCTTTTAGAAAACTTATCAGAAGCCTCGGAGGATGATGAAAGTAAAGAAGACCCACAAAAGGCCAGGAGTACCTTCACTAAACAGAGTCACGGCTACTCAAAAAAGGAAGCCGAAAATGTGGAAAATTTTTTCGATGCTTGTGAAGCAACGGAATTAAGGCCTACTAATATATGTGTGTCTAATTTAACCTGCACAAAAAAGAATTGTGAAGATGAATTTATTCTCCAGGATATCAAGTTTGTTGCACCTTCGAAGAGTTTAACAGTTATCACCGGCCCAGTTGGAAGTGGTAAGTCTACTCTGCTTTCAGCTATCGCTGGTGAAATTTCCAACACGAGTGGCATGATTTCTTACCGAGGCAAGGTCATTTACTTGCCTCAGACTGCTTGGGTGTTCTCGGGAACGATAAAAGAAAACATCCTTTTTGGCCAGCCCTTCGAGGAGTCCAAGTACGAAAGAATAATCGACGTCTGCACTCTGAAAGAAGACTTTCGGCGGTTACCTGGTGGTGACCAAACAGTAGTTGGAGAACGCGGCGAGATTCTGAGTGGAGGACAACAGGCGAGAGTAAGTTTAGCTCGTGCAGTTTATGCTGACGGAGATATTTATCTATTGGATGATCCACTGAGTGCTGTCGATTTTAAAGTTGGCCAACACATCTTTAACAAGTGCATCAAAGATCTACTAGGCGATAAAATCGTTCTGTTTGCCTCTCATCAGCAACAGCACATGGAAAATGCTGATGAAGTGATTGTGTTGTACAAAGGGCGTGTCCTCGACAAGGGACGCTTTACTGAGCTGCACGAAAAAGGTGTAATCGGCTCAACTGTTGACCCACCATATAAAGCAGCTCTGCGGAAAGACGAAACAAAATCATCTGATAACTTTGCCTGGGAGAATACAGAAAAACACGTTGATGCCGAAAAATGCAAGAAAATACTTCCTCTGTCCAATGAAGCAAGGAGCTTGGAGATAGCAAAGGAGGATCGTACAATCGGAGTAGTGACATCCAAGCTCTATTGGGACTACTTCAGAAGTGGAGCGCATCCCCTAATGATAACTGGAATGGTTGGTTTTATTCTCCTTACTCAAGGTAAACTTATTGTTATACCGAGTTACAAGCCTTGGGTTAGGCTCTAAAAGGAGATACAGTGATTTTTTTTCTATTTCCATTTAACAGTATTTGTTAAAATTAAAATTAGCTGGCATAAAAACCTTGCTTACAACCTGCAAAACAGGTGGCATTCCTCAGGCATACTACAACGAGTTTGAGACACACGAGGAGAATGGAAAGGGCGAATGACGCGCAATCGAATAAGGACGTGTCTAGCCGCTCTCTTTTGCCTCGTACTTGGCTTGCACCTACCTTCACTCGCCTAAAAAAACTCAACAAAAAGGTCGCCTGTTTTGCAAGCTACCATGCCAGGAGCTTTCGAGGGCAATTTATTTTGATGCGTACCGTGGTTAACCGATTCATCTTACATATTGTAGTGTTTATAGAAACATCCTCAACCTACAGATAATTGTATCTAATGTAGGCAGGTAGTGCAGGTAGTAGCCTAATAAATCTTACTGTGTTCAACTAAATGATCATATAGAAATAAATATCAACTATCACATCTTAATTTTGTCTCTTTCAGCCATCATAGTTGCTCCAGACTTGTGGCTCTCGTTTCTTGCAAGGCTAAACCCAGAGGATCAGAATAACAAGACTTATCTCTCTGTCTTCGCCTGTCTGGTTGGTGCGTGCTTTATATTTACTATCGTTCGGGCTTATGGATTCTTCCATGTTTCTCTAAAGTGCGCCGAGCGTCTTCACGATAAAATGGTTGTGGCCATTTTACAAGCACCTGTCCTGTTCTTTGATTCAAATCCAGTGGGAAGAATCCTAAATCGCTTCTCCAATGATATTGGCTGCGTGGATGATATGCTACCTAAAACAATCCTGTGGGCAATGCAGATGCTCTTACTTATATTTTTTCAAATTCTCATAACAATTGCCACAAATGTTTGGCTCATTCTTGTTGTTGTTCCCATTTGTATGCTAGTCGTTTATCTTTCCAATCATTACTTGAAGACTGCCAGAGAACTGAAGAGGTTGGAGTCTATATCCCGAAGCCCAGTGTTCGCTCACTTTTCGGAGACTCTGATAGGACTGGACACGATTCGTACAAGAGGAAGACAGACACATTTTTTAGACACACTTTACAGGTATGTTAGAGACATTGACTCGGGCTGTGCTGCTAGAGCTGATAAAGCACAGGGAACGAATGAGTCGTAATTGACACTAATTTTTCTAACTGAACTCACCCTTCAATTTTTGTCTGTTGAAATCCTTTCTTCCATGCGTCGAGACACTGTTTAGCAAGTGAACCTTTCCTTACTAGAAGTTCTTGGAGAGAAGTACCTATTTGGGAGGGAGGGGAGAGGCAAAGGGCCCTATTTTACCCCGAATAATCTCCTTAGAGCTTTTTTAAGCTGTTGTCGAATAACAAAACCAAATTATTCGCAACGACACAACCAGAACGAAAACTCAAAGTAAAAAACAAGGAAACCGCATTGAGTGCCCGAAAACGGCAAGGGACATTAAGCGGTTGGTTTTACTTTTGAGTCGGATTTGATAAGAGGTAGACTCGAGTTTGCAGGTCCAATTAGAGAGCAAAGTAAGACAAAGCCAATGCTATGCAGCTTTTTTTCTACAGTCAGCTGAAAATTTCTCTTTTATGAAAAGTAACTATGATAAATTGACTTGTCCCCACAGATACCAAGATGTTCATAATCAGGCGTACATTATGGTGATGGCCAGTGCTAGGTGGCTCGGTATGCGCTTGGATTGTCTCGCTTCCCTGTTAGTCGGTGCAGTTGCTGTGGCTGCAGTCTTGGTATCTCAAGATGCCGGTAAGCTCAAGATTCTTGGTAACGTTTTTGAGTCTTTCTATTTATCACGAATCTGTATAGTCATATATTGAGACAGCATGCACTACTGGATTATTAAATAAACGAGACTATACGCGCACTCTCATTGGTCGATAGGTGTGTACAGTTGTGATATTTTAGATTCGCGATAATTCTTGGGAAATGTATTATGAAAGCAAAGTGATAAAGGACTATTTCCGTGTCTAAATAGCCTCAACTATACACAAGTGGCTTGGAGAGTGGTGTACCCGAAAGTTATGCAAACCCATAGGGCATCAAATGTGTAAAGCTTTGACTGTTTTTTTTTTTTTCAGCTTACGCTGGTCTCGCTCTTGTATATGTCATCCAAAATCTGAGCATGGCTCAATACGCTGTTAGAAAAACCTCTGAAGTGGAAAACTACATGACGTCAGTTGAGCGAGTTATGGCCTACACCAAACTTGATCAGGAGCCTGGATACGAGGAAGAACAAACACCCCCAAAAGACTGGCCTCAGAGAGGAAGTATTGTGTTGAGAGATGTATCATTGACGTACTATCCGGGGGGACCTCAAGTGCTGAAGAATATCAATCTTAGCATCAAAGGAGGAGCAAAGATCGGCGTTGCCGGCCGGACAGGAGCTGGGAAGTCATCTTTCGTAGCAGCTCTTATGCGCATGCCTGATGCTGACGGAAAGATAATCATCGACGATGTTCCAATTAAAGACATAGGCCTCCAACAAGCCCGACGAGGTATCTCGATTCTTGGCCAAAGGCCCGTTCTTTTTAGCGGATCATTGAGAAAAAATCTCGACATTTTAGACAAGTTTCAAGACGCTGAATTGTGGCAAGCTTTAGAGGATGTGCAACTGAAAGATTTTGTCGAGACATTTGAGGCCAAGCTTGATCACGAACTGCTGGAACATGGCGCTAATGTGAGTGTCGGCGAGCGGCAGTTAATTTGCTTGGCTCGTGTGCTGCTACAGCGAAGTAAAATCGTCGTCATGGACGAGCCAACTGCGCATGTAGACCCAGACACAGAGCAGACGATCTGGAATGTAGTGCGGGACAAACTGAAGGAATCCACTGTCATTACTATTGCTCACCGTTTGAACACGATAAAAGACTGCCAGAAGATTTTGGTCTTAGAAAATGGAAAAGTTAAAGGATTTGACAAATTTGATTCAGTAATGTGACGATAAGTTTTCGCGCCCAACTGGAAAACTGACTGAATCTTCGCGGACGGAACAATAACAACTGGGGGAACTAACTCTGTAGAGACGACTTGGCAGCGAGAACGGAAACTCGTCACGATTTCCTGGTACACGGAGATCTGCTTCGAGCGAGCTTATACGGACATCAAGGATAAGACAATCTTTGGTTCCACAGAATACTTTTATTCTAGGTCAGGCCAACAAGCGACATGACCTCTAGCATACTCTAGTTTGTAATCATCAAAGCTGTACAAGGTACTTGCTTAAGAAGTAACTGGTGCGAAGTGCTATTGTTACACAAATCGCAATATTTGGATAAGGACACAAAGGAGCGGAAAAAAGTCTCTTTGAAGTTAAACGAAAACTCAAATATTCCATCTGTTTCTACGACGGAAAGTATCTCAAAATTAAAAAGACGGATGCAATAAACTCTAGGCCATTAAAGTAGGAAACCTAGGTGCGAATTTACAGCTCTGATATAGAAAACAATACCTATCTTAATTGCAGTAGCGCAGCTCAGGAAATAAAAAACGAAAAAGCAATTAAAAGTTTCTGCTTATTTATACAAGATTGGTTTGGAAACCATTGCATGAAAAGAAATTAGATTTACGCGTTTAAACTCAGCTGCTATCTACCATGAAAACCAATGTTTCCAGAAAGACCATTAACACTTATATTTACCTAAAAAACCCATGTACTAGATGACAAAAGTGCCGACAAGCAGGTGCATAGTAAAAGCGAGTAATCGATAAAAATCCATTCTAAAAGCCACTGTGGTTTTTGTACATTTTTATTTAACTACCAAAGGAAAAAAAACCCGAATAACCGAATATTTCAAATGTAAAAGTATATGAATATATTTTTAAGATGTTTTCCCCAAAACCCACGAAAACCCTAAGTACAATATTTTTGTGATATGTCAACAATTTACTTTTTCTGGTTATAACTAATTTGAATAATCAACAATTTGAATAGAACAACTCGTTCACCATTCTTTACCGCTCAACCGGTCGAGTAAAAGAACGAACAAAATACAGAACTGGGTCTAAACCGATAAATAAATATAGAATTTGTCCTAAAGCTAAAATACATAATTTTTTTCCCCTGACAGTAATGAATAATGCGTAGAATGTGGCCTGAGACAAAAGAGCTCGATTGCCAAGTCTGATCTGATCCTGCAGAGATCGAATCCTGCACATTGTGGAAATGAAGAAGAGGTAATGAGCGACAAAAATATTTCGCTCATGGCTTGGTTTTTGCCCCCACCGCGCCCCCAGCTTGTTTAAAATCTCTCTCGCTGTCAGGCCTTAGGGTGTCACGGAACGCCGGAAGCGTTGCGTGACATTCCATCGAATGCCTGCGAAGGAGAATTTGCTATCCATTGGCAAAGCCCAATATTGGTGGCAAAACGTACACTGAAACAAGGCATTTTGTTTGGTTTAATGCTTTCACGGTTTCTCGTTATGGTTGTCGTGATATCACCTAGTTTCCGGCCAACGGCTATCACACTTCAAGGCCACCTTATACAATTATTCACTGGTGATTAAGTTTTTTGACTAGTTCTGTTTATTGTGCTTTATAACAAACGGGTGTGTTCTTACTTCTCCTGCTCTTGACAGAGAACCACAACAATGGTCTTCTCGTCTTGGCGTCTTGTGAGTAGAACTTAATTAAGGTGGTGTTTATTAAGAAATGTTCTAAGCTTTACCGATGTTGTTAATCTACATACAGCCCTTTGAAACAACTTCAATAAACGGGCTACGCGGAAAATATTACGTTCCAAGGTCGCCACATTATTCACATGTATAGGTCTCAACCGAGTTCAAGATGATGCCCTCTAATATATCAGGTGATAATCGTTAAAAAAAAAAAGAGTGAAAAGAGAGAATCCAATGAGCATATCACGTCACTCTATAACATAACATGAGGGTCTTATGACTGTTGTGGCCCCAGACGGTTCGTGTATTAACTGAGACTCAAAGGTGTCATTCAGTGTCTTCCCGTCTTGAAATTGCGTTCAGTTTTGCATTTACGACTGTAATATTTCCGAATTGTTTACTCAAATTCCATTATGATTGACACGGATTCAAGGACAAGCTTTGTGGCTTTTACTCTCCTCCTTACTATGTCAACAGCTGCATGCCTCTCAAGCTCTGGCGCTAACAAGTGCTCTAGAGCACAAGACTGCAGTACAAGAAACGGTTCATATGAATGCTGCTCTGGTTCTTGTGTCCAAGGAAGCAATTGCCTGGGAGAAAACTGTGAAATAAACCGAGATTGCTCTACATCTGAAATTTGCTGTCGCAAGAAATGCGTCGATAGCCTGGATTGCGTAGGACAAACTTGCTCTTCTGACAATGACTGCCAGAGGAAAGAAGTGTGCTGTTACGGATCGTGCAGAATAGAACTATTGTGTAGCGACTTCACCCTGCTGATTCTCATTTGTCCTGTTGGTATAATCGCCATTGTATCCATTTCCTCCTACGTCTGTAGAAGAATCTGCTCCAAGACTTCCATTTCCATGAAACGGTATCCATTTTCACTGGAGTTTTCGTCGGGGAGCCTTTTATCGAGTTCGCTTATCAGCTCTTCGCGACCGCTTAAGCTATCGTCCAATTTTGTCGCACATCTGTTCGATGCACCTCCAAAGGACGTAAATTTTCCTGAAGACTTGACTCACAAGGTGGCTAAGATACACGAAGGTCCAAAGCCCGAAAAAAAAACCCAGTATGGTTCATTTTAAGAAACATCGAAACTTTGAATACATTTATTGATAATGTGTGTACCGTCAGATTGGCAAAATACTGAGTGTTGCTGTTTGTCTCAATAATACTTTTACTTTTACACTTTTCAGTTCGAACATGTGGTGATTATTAGGAGAGGATATTATGATATTTTGAACGAGTCCTGACGGTTTTAAAATGAATTACATTTCTCGTATTTGATTAACCCTTAACATACCACGGGTATGTTAATTTTTTCAGAGAAAACTGAGTGATGTTAACAAGACCAGTTGTAGATAAATTTCCGTTTAATAAAGCCCCATATGACCACTTATATACATAACCAATAGAAAAATTTATATGAACTTGTGTAACTTATTATGGGATATATATCATATGATGACGTCACAACACGCATAATTAGCATAATTGGTAGAAATTTCATGCAGGACTAATTGAAAGAATACTGTAACAAATTTATTCTAAAACCAGTGCCTTTTCTCAAAAAAACATGACCTTCAAACATTGAAAATAACATTTTCTGGGTTAATAACACTTCTCTGCACACAAATTTGGGCCATTAACGTTAATGTAAAGGCATAAATTATCTTATGAGTGACAAAATCTTGGGGTATTATCTATGGGAAAGTCTTAGAGTAAGTCATGTTCAATTTTAAAGAGCTATTCCTCTTCCTCTGGTGCCAGGCCTCCTCCTTCCTTCTTTCAGACTTTGGGAGCCTTCGTGATCTCCATTATTGAAATAGAAGTCTTTCAATGTGTAGTATCTGAGAAAACAGGGCTCCAGGCACATGCGCACTCCACACTGCACAGCTCTAAAAGGTATCTACATGCTGTAGGTGAACCTTGTGAGTAGACCTTTTGTCCTTTCTCACTGGTTGGTGAAAGCATTCTTGGCTAAATCTAATTTCAGGATTGGGTGGCAGCCACATTTGAGTGTCCCCCCTGAAGGAATTTCCTTCAATCAAGTCACTTATCTATGACTTTCTGAAGTCTAAAGCAGTTCTGGTGGTATGATTTGGAGATTTCCTTCCCAAAATGTGTGCATTTAAAACACACACTTCTATGAGATAGGAAAAAATCTTATAATAGCACATAGCACCTCTCAATAGTCTTGCATACAAGTTGACTCTCTGATCGAAGACATCAGCATCACCCATTTAAGCATTTCTTTGTCAAGAAAAGGTTCCTTCCATAACATAACAGCCCTTTTTCCTAGATCTTTCTGGACTACATTGGCTTCCTTTCCAGTATATACCTTGCTCCCTAGAACATAACCTCTGGTTGATTCAGTCCTTGATTCCAAACCTGCCTGGTTTTATGGGATGAATTGCCTAAAATGAACTTTCCCTTTGACTTGATCAAGGTTTCATCTACAGCAAGTCGCCTCTAAGGACTGTAAACTACCCTAAACCTCGATATAATCAAATCCAGCAGAGGCTGAATTTTGTATAACTTGTTGAAATTTGGTGAATCAGGCCTGGGAGCTAAGGAATTATGAGCAGAGTCTGAAGAAATCTTGTTCTTGACATAGTGGTATCAAAGAATGGGGTGGACAGCATGGGGTCAGTACTCCAGTCGGGAGGGATATTTGCCTTATTAATAATTCCCACACACAAATAAGTAACAGCCTAACCTTTCATTTCTTCCACAGACACTGGATACCACACAGACTTTTCTGCAGCTCTTCGTTTCTGATTCGCATACAGATTAGTCTGAGCAACTAACAACTCCCATACCTGAGCAGTGGAGAACAGATCAAAAAACCCTTTGCTCAATGTCAAAGATCTAATGTTTACATTTGCTGCCAATCCCACGAGTTCACTGAAATCAATATCATCCCTTCTTGTTATTTCTTCGCTCCATGCCGGTACTTCTTCTTCCTCCTCTAGGTCTTCATCATCCTCACTTTCCAGTTCTTCAGACTCATCCCCACTAGATTCTGCAAAATCATCGGAGTCAATCTCTTCTTCTGACTCGCGATGTTCCCAAACACTGACACGAGCCAAAGGTAAATAGTCTTGGTCGATAAATTCGATTTCCACATCGTTTTCATCAATTCCAGAATGCTTCAGGTGATATTCCGCACCCCGCGATTAAAAAAAAAAAAAAACCGCACACAAGACGCACTCGAAATTTAAATTTTAAAATCCTTTATTTAAACTCACTAAATCTCACTGCCTCAAACTATTCACCACAATTGCTCGTTAAAATGACCTCGTATATTTCTATATCTATGCA